GTCTAATTACTGTTAAATACAATTTATAAAATATTCTTTGGAATTTTCTACAAGGTATCGGCAAACGTTGCCAATTTCATTATGTTCAAAAGACGACTGACTCTCCACTGCGTCTTGCATGGCGAGCGCTGGGTCACAATCACAACTTTTGCTTAGATTAGATTACGTTATCTCCAATCGATGGAGCACCGTATTGAATAGGTTCTTTAGGCATTGAGGTTCGTATAGGAAAAGTGTAAACTGATACATGAATGCATACAGTATACGATTCGTATAGTCCTTGCTGTGGTGGCTGAGAGCAGACATACGACCAGAATGGTAAAAAGGCTCTGGTGGCTGAGAGTGGACATACGACAGCAAAGGGTTAAAGGATTTCAAAAACACATAAAAAATAAATAAAATAATAATTAAAAAAAGAATATTAAAAAAAAATTTGGTGGCATAAAGCATATTTTCAGATTCCTATTAACGAAAACGATAAGCTAAAAACTGTCATTATAACCTTTTTTGGCCAATATGAATTTAACATCATAAGGTTTGGGTTGCGTAAAGTTCTAATCACAGTACGTTTTGGCTTCACGGGACTGGACATCGAAAGGGACAATTCTCAGAACCTGCACATTTCCAGGAAACCCACATAGCTAGGCTACCATCTTCACTTACTACAAGCACCTGAACGCCAAACAGTAATCGATTATTCCTCAGATTGGGATTACGTGATTCTTCAGAAGCAGAACTTTTATCTGATTGGTTGACTTTACCAGGGGCAGAGCTCCAGCCGAGACATTTTTGGTGAGGTTTGAAAAAATCCCGCATGACCACTACATCATTTCCGTAGCTAGGAAGGACTTTGCTTCCAGCGGGGCTCTTTTTTCTAGGAATCCTCCCATTTAACCAGTGCTACCAGAATCTTGTTTCTCAGAAAAGTCCCGTCTAGCAGGGACTGTTGTTGATAGAAGTGAAAGCCCGCATTGCACCTACTATCTTTTAAAGATTTATTAATGAAGTATTCAGAAGACTAAATTTTTCCCATATTTGGATGATGTTTTGATTGCATCAAATACTTAAGGGTAACATGAATTTGGAGTTAATAGATAGGATATTTTAGGCTTACAAATTACTAATTCTATAATGTGAGGCATCAAAACCTTTTCCTAAAAAGGTTAAAGCTGTTCTTAATGTTAAACTTCCAGACGCTGTTCATCAACTACAAACTTTTCTCGGAATGGATAATTCCTACCGTAATTTTTTTTAAAAACACCGCTAGATTTCCAGTTATTTTACATGACTACATAAAAGGTTCAAAGAAAAGAGACAATGAAAAATAATTTGGATGTATGATGCCACTGAGCAGTTTGAACAAATGCAAAGAAGATTTAGGAAATGTTGCTCTTCTGTCTTACCCAACCCAGAATTGCCTTTTTTGTTGTGCACAGACGCTTCGGATTGTGCACTAGGTCCAGTTTCACAACAATTCAAAAATGGTAGTTGTAAACTAATTGGATTTTATTCCAAGAAGCTTAACCTTATGCAACAAAGTGCATATGATCGTAAACTTCTCGCAATTTAACTTTCCATCAAATATTTCAAACATTTGTTAGAAGGATTAAAATTCATAGTGCATACTATGCATACACAAGCCTTTAATGTATGCATTCTCCCATAAGTCGAATACAGCATCTCCAAGGCAAATTTGGGGACTTCAGTATATTTCAGAATTTATAACAGATATTAAGTACATTACAAGAAAGAGCAATGTAGTAAGATACATTGTCGAGAATCGAAGAAATTGTCTTAATTAATTACAATCAAATTGCCAAAGCACAAAAGCGAGACGATGAATTTCAGACATTGCAGAAATCTACAAATTTGGTTATTCGGTTATTTAATATTGGCGATTCAAAAACAGTTTTTCCTTCCATTTGAGGGAAAAAAATTGTGATACTTTAATACAGCATTCTACGTAAGGATTTAATTCTAACCAATTACTTTTAGTTTGACTTTCTTGTCCCTCCTGACTTCAATTTCCTGCCAGAATGTAAATTTATGACGTAGTATCCAAATTTAAATGTGTTTCAGAAACAGTATTGAAGCTGCATGTCAAGAGTTCAAAAAAGAGTAATAGCAGACTTAGTTCTGATGTTTATGCTGCGAGTTTAAAATTAGATTTCTAGTTCAATGTTCAGTTACCTTTCAGTTTATACTGATATTTCTTGGCTCAGCTTTGCTGTGTGCATTTGATTTAGCATTAGTTTAAGCTAAGAAGCCAGTCATTAGATATCTTAATTTACTAGTGATTTGTTACATACTTATTTTTTGTTACTTTATATAGCTACAAGTGGTGGTCATTTGTGAGGACAAAGTGCCTGCCTCTGTATTAATTTAGTTTAAATAAAAAGGCTATTTAAACCTTTCTTCTGCAGTATTTATTCTTAAAGACATAGTGAGAATTCGCTACTTCGTGTACAACATACAATCAAGTTGTGTGTTACCAAAGAATACCCATTAGACTCTATAACTAGACCTTATAAACCTAAGAGTTATCATATGGAAATATTTCATGAATTCCACAGATTATCCCATCCTGGAATTGGATCCACAATAAAATTAACCCCTTAAAAACTTATTTGGTCAAATATCAAGATGTTCAGCACTGGCAGAAATCTCTTGTATTCCATGCCAAAAATCTAAAATAACCAGTCATATGGAATAAATATTTGGGAAATATTAAAAGCCATCGTATAACCACCATCAATGGTATTCACTATCAATGGTGAAATATCAAGATGTTCAGCACTGGCAGAAATCTCTTGTATTCCATGCCAAAAATCTAAAATAACCTGGCATATGGAATAAATATTTGGGAAATATTAAAAGCCATTGTATAACCACCATCAATGGTACACCTACTTTATATATATATGGAAAGGACAGATACACAAATTGTATGGAAGCTTCTGCTTGAAAACATCTGCAGAAACTACAGCAAAAGCTTTTTACAGCTATTGGATAACAAGGTTTGGAATACACTTCCATCTAATTCACATAACTCAATTTTCATCTGAAACATTTCAAAACTTATCAAGAACCTGTCACGTACTAAAGCTCACCACCCACAGGGCAATGGCAAGGCAGACCAGCTCCACAGATCAATAAAGGGCTGCTTTAAAAGCCAATAATAATATAATTTGGAGTGAAACTTTACTAATTGTTCTCTCCTAAGAACAACAAGCCATGATGACACTAACTATACTATAGCAGAGATGGTATATGGAAAAAATATTAAGCTTCCTGGAGAATTCTTTGAAGCAAAAACAACCATCTGGAACTTTTATAAATAAATTATAAAAGTATATGGAATTAATCCAGCCAAAGAAAACTCAATAGGAAGGTATCCCTAAATTATTTGTACACAAAGAATTAGGATTAACCTCCTAATTTTTCTTTACATTGACAGAGTTCGAAAGCAAATCGAACTCACGTAAGATTGTCTGTTATCAGTTGTTCACCCAAATATTTTACTTTCAGAGGATAAAGAACAAAGAAGATATGTATCAACAGACAGATTGAAGCCAGCATATATTTTACCACAACAAATTCTAGAACAACAGAAATCTACAATTCCAAATTGAGTAAAGAATGTGGTTATGCCAGCTGAGATTCAAAACAGAAAAACTGCGGCTCAACCCAAAATCAAATCAGCTTTAACCCTTAGAGTTTCGGTGCATAAAAAAACATTTTTTTGGAAAAAATAACTTTACACATTACACAACTAGCTCCTAATACAATGTTATTTCATGGAAAAAAAAAAAAGGAAACCTTTAAGGTACTGGAACAAACCCATGATATGGTGAGATACCGCTTGTCCCACTGCACACCTAGAGCAGTAAAATGGCATCTTTGCCACAGTGTAAATTCTCTTAACATGCTTATCTAAAGTGCTCGTTTTAGCAACCAAATGAAAATGCAAGATATTAAAAATGTTTTTGAATAATTATATAGAGAATATTGATCCTATTCGCAAAATAAAATAAATAAAATAAAATAAAAAATTACATAATTGAAAAAATGCTCTGTACAAATTTTTAGATATTTTTTAATGATTTCATAAGAGATTGAAACGAGAGATTTTTGCTCAAGTACTTTATTTGCTGTAGGTTTAAACAGGAAGATATTTAGAAGGCCGTCATGAATTACATTTCACCTATCTTTCTCTGCTTAGGATATTTTTCTATTGTGAATCACACTTACATATCCATTCAGTATTCAATGATTTCATTTCAGAAATACAATATTATTTTTTCAGTTTCATAAAATCACTTATTTCAATTTAACATTTACAAAAAAATAAAAATTTGCATTATCAACATATAAAACGAACATCATACTTGAATTTAAAAATACCTGAACGGTGCTGCCATCTAGTAGCAGCAATTCCTACATGCGCGGTTGGATGTATTTGGGTCCCACCTTTTAATTTCAACCATTCTTAATTAGTATATATGAATTCAAATAACAATGTTTTTAGAAAAGGAAACTTTCACATGAAAATATTCATTCTAAGACCAAACGTGACGATTTAAATTGCATTAGAAATAAATAAAAAAATGCTTCAAAATTAGACTTGCAAAGAATTTTTATTTTATATTATTTCATGAATGAATACTAGTGCTGCCATCTGTTATACATCTAGAGAACTAAAAGGCATAATTGTATGTATTTTAAATGGAATTTTGCAGCTTTCATCTGGGAGATAAAAACTAATAAAAAAGGTGAGTGTCCCACTGCTCATCAAAGGGTTAAGACAATTCCAAACTGGTAGAATTTTTAAGACAGCACTGCGATTCAAAAACTGATATTTTATATTTATGTATTAATTTTTTTATTACTTTGAGAATAGGCACTTTTACTTTTCCACAACTTTTCTAATGTAACATTTGTTAGTGATAGGAAAGTAAATATAATAGCATAAAATGTAAATTAATTTAAAAGTAACTCACAAATATTTTAATAATTATGAATGTTTACTTCGCATATTATTGCATTATCTTTTTTTTTTGGCGACAGTTTTCATATTTTCTTTCATATTTCTTTTTCAAATCCAACATTCTGCCTTCTGTTTAAAAAAAAAAAAAAGTTTTTATTAAAGGTTTAACAGTAAAAAAATAAAGGATCTGATGTTAATATGGTAGTATTATTTGTAGTTCAATAAAACACCATTAAGGTAGTAGTTCTTTATCTGCATCTTATTACACTATCAGTATCTTCACAGATACTCTATGAATTTATAAGAATATTAATGCCCCAACGGAAACCAAAAACATTTGCTTTATACATGCACATGTGTCTGATCTTTTGCAAAAATCAGAAGTTAATAAATTTTGAGTCAGAAAATTTTGACCTTGAGGATACCTAGCTTTTGAGTTGATCAATATGCTGGACAAGGCTGGTTGCACTCAATTATTCCAAACTGAAAGCAAGCAAATTCCCATCAGACTGCTGCAGAATAAATGAATCATCTACAGTCACCTATGTTTACCATATAACTATACAGTACATCATGGAGGTGAGACAGTGACATGGAATTTGGGTATCCAACAAACTCTCAGTTGAAAACAAGGTCGAGTATTTCTTCATAAAAAATTCCATGTTCAGTAGGCAGGAAAATGAAAAATTTCTTCATCAGTTTAGCACTAGAGGTGAGAAGTTAGTTCTGTACATTAAAACCAAGTGCAAAAAATAACGTTTTCACCACATGCCAGTTTCAACCCCTAAGTCAGGATTCCACCACCAAAAAGTTTTGTTCTGCATTTGGTGAAATACTGCAAGCATAGTTCACTTTGAAATATTGGCACTTGGTTTGACTACCATTGTAGATCTCTGCTCTGTTGCCTGTCAACTCAATCACTTGAATAAAGCTCTTCCTGCTAAGTACCCCATGTTGATGAACGGAAAATGTCTTCCTAGTTATTTCCATACCTTAAAATATTGTATATTACACCAGCTTGTACAACTTCTTCAGTTGTGCATAATCACAGTTTAGTCGCAAAACATGTTACAAAAAAGACCATACAGGCCCCATTTTTTTTAATGCCATTTATGACAGAGACCACATAAATAGCATTATCAAAGCAATAGATCTCATTAAAATCATTAAAATAAAATTAACACTCTTAACTTATAACAGCACATTTTATATTAAAAATAATAATTACATTCAATTCCACATTAAAGTCAAGCAATAAAAATGGTATAAAACTTACGGTATGAACAAAGAATATTTTAAAATTCTTTGGCTCAGCACGTAGCTCAGGAGACCTATATAAAAACAGAAAAATGAAAATTATTTATGAAAACACTGCTAGAAAATTAAGACAAAACATAGAATCAAAACTGAAATATATATACCATGGAATTTCTCCTTTAAGCACCATATTTTGGGGATCCACATAATATAAATGAGGTCCAGTAGTAAGAAGAAGCATTCTACGTCGCGCAAACAAACCCTACAAGGAAGAGGAAAAAATATTGAGGGATATTTAATTATAAAAACACATATATGATTTTCTGAATAAAAACACATGGTTTATGGAAAAAAATTCCTATTCATTTAAATTATAGAAGATGTTTGATTCACAAGAAGTGGGGTGATGAAATACAAGGCACGTCCAGAAAGTAAGTTCCGTTTCAATTTATCTCCGCTGCAGCTCTGCGATCGCAGTTCCGCATATGCGCAGTAGACGCTCTGTATCAAGGAGAAGGAACGCGCGCCATTTGGAGATCGCTGTCAGTCACGTACGCTTTGTTGTGCTTGTTTACAACGTCGGTGTTGATTGAAAATTCCGCCGCTTGTGAAATCAGATCTGTCATTCGTTTTCTGAATGCGAGGAAAAGTGAAACCTAGTGAAATTTATTGGCAAATTTGCGATGTTTACGGACCAAAAGCGATGAGTGATTCAATGGTGAGAAGATGGGTCCGAAAGTTCAATGACGGACGTAGTGATGTACACGATGAAGAATGAAGTGGGCGTCCATCTTTGGTTACAGAAGAACTGGTTCACGCGATTGATGACAAGATCCATGAAAACCGAAGGTTTGCAATTAGTGCTCTCGCTATGGAATTCCCCCAAATTTCACGATCACTAATGCATGAAATTGTTACCGAAAAACTGAAATTTCGTAAACTTTGCTCACGTTGGGTACCAAAAATTCTTACTGAGCAACACAAAACAAAATGGATGGGTAGTGCACTTTAGTTTTTGACCTGTTATGCTGAAAGCGGCGAAGAATTTCTGACACAGATAGTCACAGGAGATGAACTTGGGTTTCTTACAACACCCCTGAAAGTAAGCGGCAATCAATGGAATGGAGGCACACTTCATTCCCAGCAAAGGTTAAGCCAAAGCAAATCTTGACACCTCGAAAAATGATGTGCACAGTGTTGTGGGACTGGAAAGGCATCTTACTCATTGATTTCTTACCGCGTGGTCAAACAATCAGAGCAGATGCTTATTGCGAGACACTTCGGAAATTGCGCCGCGCAATACAGAATAAGCACCGAGGATTGCTGTCAAAAGGTGTTGTTTTTCTTCACGACAACGCACGACCACACACTGCAAATGTGACGAAAACCTTCCTACAGGGATTTGGCTGGGACATGCCAAATCCCATCCTCCGTACAGCCCTTACCTCACTCCTAGCGACTTTCATCTGCTTAAGTCTTTCCTTGGCGGTCAACACTCAAACAATGACGACGAGCTGAAAGAAACTGTTTCCAACTGGTTGAAGACACAGGCGGCAAATTTCTATGAAGGTATACAAAAACTTGTGCCACGCTATGGCAAATGCCTGCAATATTTCGGCAGTTATGTGGAAAAGTAGTTTAAGAGTTGTTGAATTTTGTGCAATAAAATAACTTTTCTGTAGCTGTACACAATTTACTTTTATTACCAAATGGAACTTACTTTCTGGACGTACATTGTATTTTACATCTTCAACCAGCTACAAATTGCAGTCAGAACTTGCACAGCAGGTAGTTTTGAATCTCACAGCGCAAACTTTTTTTTTTTCTTTTTCACATGAGACAAAACTTCATACATCTCCACATGCATGATGATTTATATATATTACATGATGATTTTATATAAGGAAATTCTGCATCCAAACAGTACATCCTTATCACCATTGCCCCTTGTGCCATCTGCTTCGTACAGATACAATGAAATTAACTTTTCATCTACTTCTGCTTAATATTGTGAGTAACACTTTTTTTATATTAAATGATTTTTAACAGTTTGGGGTTATTAGTTTGTGCAAAAAGTGCTGTTCTGAAGTTTAAACAAGCAATCATCTGAGGTCTAGGAACATAATAACGTATTTTAAATTAATTCTTATGGGAAAAATAATTTCAGTTCAATAATTGCCTTCAGGAATGAGTTGAATTCGTGAATTGAGGTACAAAATATATTAATTATTAAAAGAGATGCCTAATGGAAATAGTTACTACATATTTATGGTGGACGAATACCCGGAATATCAAAATTGTGGCGGACGAATTCCAGTAAAAGAAGAGGTAAGTGATAATTCCGCTTCTTTATTAATATACACACATTTATTTACAATTAATACAGTGTTTGCAGAGATTATTATTAGACTTAACACCTTCGTTCTCCCATCAAACTAAAATTAAGTTACCAATAGAGACAAGACGCTCAAAGTGCCACCTAATGGCGTGAGCTATCAATTTATAACAGTGCTCTCTATACAATACAATTTATGGTTTGTTAGAAGATAATCTGATTTCTTTTATAGAAATTAACATGCCGTATTTGACGGCATATAAGATGCACCCTTATTTAGAAGGCCATACACAAGGAAAAAAAGTACGAATAGTCTGCGCGATAGCGCGGTACCACAATAACTTAAAATGTGGTTTCTTTTAGTTCTCACATTTTGTAAAAGCCAAATAAACAATCATTGAATGCAATTACTAAACATATTTTTGTTAAGGAAAATTAACAAACGGCAAGCTATTTTGAACATGATATGTAAATTTTAATAATTAATAAATGAATAAACGGCAAGCAATCAAACATAATACAAAATAAAGCAGAAACAACAAAAAACACAGATTCAAGGAAAACGTTGCCTATCATAAAATTAGACTTTAATCACTTTCCAAAACCACAAAAACCCTTTTCACTATCATCATCATCGAAAACGAGAATATCGTCATCACTACTGTTTCCGTCATCGCTCGTATTACCTAGCACCGATACCGACCCGTTTATACAGAGCAGCACCCAATACCGACACGTGTGTGGGCTGAGTCAAAGAAAGTCTATGTAAAGAAGGAAATGCTCCATAGACGTAATGTGACTGTCGAACCTGTTTGAACTTCGACATCAGCTTCAAGCTTTGGTGCTTTTTGGTGACAGATGTTTCGCACATGCGTAAAATAATTATGGCAGATGTAGAAAAAGTTATAAGCATCTAGACTTTTATCTGGGCTACAAAAAGCATTCAGTATTGAAAGTTAACCAATGTTCTTCACCGTCGAACCTGTTTGAACATCAGCTTTGAGCTTTGGCGCTTTTTGGTGACAGATGTTTCACACATGCACAAAATAATTATGGCAGATGTAGAAAAAGTTAAGTGTGTCTAGACTTTTATCCGGGCTACAAATAGCATTCAGTATTGAAAGTTAACCTATGTTCTTCACGTATAAGATGCAGGTAACTTTTTGAGACCAAATTTAGGAAAAAAGTGCATCTTATATGCTGTCAAATACGATAGTTGTTTTGTATTATTTGACAGTAAATTCAATTTGGTTAAAAAAAGAAAGGGCGGAGTAGGATCTTTATCAAAAAACACTTTTCCAGTAGTCTGGTCATAAAATTTTTGTTTTGGTACAAAAAGATTAAAACTGAAGGAAATGAAAGTTTTATGGCAATATAACACAATTCTAAAGAGACAGAAATTTGCTGAGAACTTGGTTGTATTAAAAAGTCTAGTTAAAAACGATATTATTTTCAATTTTAACAGAAATATTTATGCATTGTATTCTGACAAAATCCTCATACACACGTTTCTCTTTCATCATTTTCATAATTACAATAAAAAATTATAATTGCTTAATAATTAAAATGATTTTATATTCTATTAGTATGTTTTAAATTGAGGCATATATGAATTTAACATCAAGTGATTCAGCACCACTGAATAATAATAATAAAAAATAATACTGAAGCAATGATTAAAAATTATTTACTTTTCTTTTATCAACTAATCCTTGTTTAAGAATAAGATTTCCTTGAACAAATTTATGCCAAGTATTATTTTTTGCTTGAAGTTCTAATCTCTGTGCCATTTCATCAGGCTGAATATCTAATATAGAAGTCTTCCTGGCAGGTTTACTAACAACTTCTTCATCTTCTTGAAGAGCTAAGCCTAAAAGCCTTGTCATTTGTTTATCATCTAATCCTGGTTCTAAATGATCAGGAACCTAAGTTAGAAATATAAGGAAGTGACTTAATTATATTACTTGGTCTTATTAGAATAATTTTACATATGCATACATCTTAATGAGAGTTTGTATGTAAAGTAAACCAGGGTTCATACATATTTCTGAACATGAAAATTAAGTACATTTAAAGTTCATCAAGGGAAAAAATTAAGGACCAATCAGAAAATGGGAAATGAATATATTAAAGCAACTATCATTACAACGCTTCACTTCACTGTAATACCTTTCTAAGAAGGAAACAAAAGTGTATGTAGATTAATATAATAGTAAAAAATTAATTTCAGAATAGAATCAACTTTTTAATTTTTAAATATTATCAAATTAGCATTTCAAACATTTATCTTTTCCACATATATGTTGTACATATTTTAAATAAGATTTACATGGTTTTATTTAAGAGCATGGTTACCCTTTTTTAAAAATATTTTTAAAAATGTATTGTATTGAAATCACAATTTAAGGAAATATAATTCATTTATGATATTCTGAGGAATTTTAAAATTTCAGAAGCTAAATCTGTAATGCTCGAGAGGTTAAACATTCTTTTTCAATGCAAGTTGTTTAAATTGCTTTGTTTTTATGTTAATACTTTCTCTTTAATTTTAGAGATAAGCAAATAAGAACTGTTAAAAAAAAAAAGATTGAATATTTGCCGTTCTTGCTTTATTGCTAATTATACAAACTTTCAACCATTATCTCCTTCAAAGCAGGACTCTCTAAAGTCAACACACAATTGCCATTGTTCTTTCCACTTTTGGAATGCCGGTTGGAAATCACATTTTCGATGGCATGCAATACTGTTGTCTCATTTTCCTGAATTTCTTCTATAGACTAAAAATGACATCCTTTCAAAGTGGTTTTAAGTTTGAGAAAGAGAAAAAAGGTTTGCTGAGATCAAGTCAGGAGAATAGAGCAAGCAAGGCACACTGGAAGTGCTGTGTTTTGTCAGACTGTTGGTAACAAGGAGCAATGTGCGAGCTGAAGCATTGTCATAGTGCAACATCTAGGACTGATTCCCCCAAGAATTCAGGTCTCTTCCTATGCACAGTGTCTCTCAATCATGTTAGAATTCTCTAGTAGACTATGCTACCTTGCTTTCTGTCTATGTGCTACAAATTCATTGTTCACTCTCAATATCTTGGTTGTCTGTTGACGTGAAAGGTCAAAGGTTCCTTGGAATTTTGTCAACTTAACTTCTGCCCTTCTTAAAAATGTTGAAATAAATCACAGTACAACATTCGGTTCCTAAACACAGTACAGTGTTCATCAGTCATTTTCTGTGTGCTTGGTTAAGCCTTCGGAATATTTCTGTGAAAGTTTACCCCACTTCTGCTCAAACATTTGCACAGGTACATTGTTCCTCCAGCTCTTTCATTTTTGCTTTTTCAGTAATCCAGTAAGCAGCATATACATGACCTTGCTCAAATGGTAGTTATTTGGCAACAAATGCATAGGCTGGAACCCAGCAAAAGGCAATATAATATTAAGATATATCACTGGTTCTGGATGATGGCAACAGCAGGCCACCTGTGTGCATTGGTGCATAATTTAAAAAAATCTGCTTTTTTTCTGAACAATCTTCGTAATTTAATTGTTCAGTACAAAGTTCAATTGTAACAACTGTCATTTCGAGAATTCTCACTAAATTGTCAATCAAAGTTTTTTCATTTTCGGGAACTTCTCAATCACTTGTTCACTGTAGGTAGCAACATTTTCTAGATATGGAACCAGCTACATCCATTAGTTAACTGATGACTATAGCATTGTCAACACAAATGAAAATTTTTATTTTATCATCTCCATTTATTACCACTTCATACAAATTCAATTAATAGAAAAATTTCACTTTTTATTTGTGAACTTTTAAATTTGCAACTATCATCATAAAGCTTAGTTAACATCCACTATAAACTAATGGTAATGTGCTATAAGACTGGCAATTACATGTGTGTTATTTTAATGAATTTTTTCTTGCTTCTATCAGAACTAAGGAAGTTATGCCTGAATTACATTGGTTTAGTTATTTATTATAGTTATGCCTTTTCCACATACATTTATGGCCCATTTTAGGACTGGATAAATAAATTCACACACATATTTAAGGCTTATCTGCACAAATAAATCAGTTGTTCTCAATTCAAACAGCACTAAATTAATCATTTGGCCTTTGAATATCATATACAAAATTAATTTTTTTTGCATATGGGAAGATATTTCTGCTCCTCAGCATTGCAGTGCAGTTGGCTGAAGTCTGCAATGTCAACATAAAAGGTTATTGTAGTGTTTGGTATTCAGTTACTAATATTCTAAAAAAGAAATTACACATTGCAATGTGAGTCATTTTTTAAGGCTCAAACATTTTTTAAGGCTCAAACATCTGGCCACTTTTTTGTGTGTGTGCGTGCGTGTGCATGAGTGCATGCATGCGTGAAAAAGGAGAAAGAAATAAATCTGAAAAATAGCCTCTCATTGCACTGTCTGGTTTATTCTTCACATATGTACAGTAGGCAATTCCCCTCCCCCTTCATAATAAAGCATGTAGAGGGATGTTTCACTTCAGCTGTTAATAAAAACATCCATTTTGAAGAAACATTATAATTTATTAGCATAAATCTGTATGATCATTGATTTGTATGTGGTGAAAAGTATGTGGTGAAGAAAGCCACAAATAATAAAAAATTATTTACCAATTTGGCATTAGGGATTTCAGTTATTCATTAAGTGTATTATCAGTGGTGAATTTGATACTGTTTCAGTTGCCAAGCAAAAAGGTAGCTATGAAGCCAAATCAATGATCATACAGATTTATGCTAATAAATTATAATGTTTCTTCAAAATGGATGTTTTTATTAACAGCTGAAGTGAAACATCCCTCTACATGCTTTATTATGAAGGGGGAGGGGAATTGCCTACTGTACATATGTGAAGAATAAACCAGACAGTGCAATGAGAGGCTATTTCAGATTTATTTCTTTCTCCTTTTTCACGCATGCATGCACTCATGCACACGCACGCACACACACAAAAAAGTGGCCAGATGTTGGCCTTTATGTTATAGTCATTTGGAAACAGATTTAACTTTAAAAAATATTGCTAAAACTATATAAAGCAAATTTGGTGCGTATAATTTGAACTGTAAATTTACCTGATACTGGCTTCTCAGTTCTTCATTGCTTGAAGTGCCTGGTAAATATGGAAGAATTCTAGGAGGAGTACACTCATGTAGAGTGTCCCAAGGAATATTGTTTAAAAATGAATGCCTTCTTATAGATGGATATCCATTTGTATCCTTTGAACCTAAACGTTCAGATGGCTCTAAAACCTGAAATAATTATAAGACCATTTCCAAATCCCAAGTACATAAATAATTTTATGTAGAACTTTTATCTATATATTTTTTAGTTTAATGCATTATTAAAAAAATTTAACATATGTGAGATATGATCAGCTACTTTCCACAAATGTATATTCATTCTGATACAATCTATATTTACTACTCCTTAAAAAAGGGGGGCAGTAAATGAAAAAGGTAAGTATAATGCCATACAATTTTTAAGAAGAACAGATGACAGTCTGAAGAAAAAGAAAGTATGTTAATAGAAATATTCAGATCTGCAATCTTGTCACACACTCAATATTTTAATCTTCCAGGATACCAAGATGCAGCTTGAAAAACATATGAGATGGGCTGAGCTGCTTGACGATAATCAATGGCAAATATGCATACAAGATTATAAGTAAATGAGCCAATTAGAGACCCACGTCTAAAAACTTGCACAAAAGAAGAACAAAGTAGTTGAAAAATTGTTATAAAATACAAAACCGGATGCAATTTTTAAATGCTTAAAGACAATTAAGAAGGTCCACTGTGTTTTTCACTAACTTCACACAGCTGATATTGGTATCCATGGAAGCTATGAAACTGCAGTAGTTCCAGATGTAATGATGTGAACTTGAGAGAAGTAGTACTTGCAGAACTTTGAACTATAGCTACAATTGGGAGGTTTAATGGAATAGAAAATTTTATATGTTGCTGTATGATATGTCTGAAGCGTTCTTAAGTTTAAAAGTTTTAGTTATTTTTACTCATATGATTACTTTAATGGAATATTTTTACACTAATTAGAAATGTTTCTTGTTAAATGTTATGTACGACGTTTTGTAGCAGCACATTTTGATTTGATGGAGTTCTGTTTTACTTACAGAAAATACGAACAGGAAATACAGGTTAACCATGTAGCTAATGCTTGGACCTCAAAAGAAGAAATGGCGGGAGAGAGCATGAGGGGAAAAAGAACATTAGAGATTTCCTATTTTTATCTTTACTTTGATTGGAAATAGCACAGGAACTGTATAAAAACTATCTCTGCAATATAAGTTATGTGCTCATGAATCAATCAGACAGTTGATATTGGTTAAGGTTAAGATAATTCAGGTATTAATCACATGAAAACATTTTGTAGACCATATAATAGAATTTTCCTTCCTTCCTCTCTCTCTCTCTCTCTCTTTTTTTTTTTTTTTTTGTTAATTTCATTTCTCCCAATGACTAAAAAAAGAAGGGCAGATTTTAATCATATGAAACTGCTAACCCTTTTTAATTGCTGTAATTAATTGCTTTAGTACAAATGTATTCACCACAACTGTAACAAATAATTTTACACATACCTACCAATTTCCATAATTAAACATATTAGACATATACATAATATTTCTAAAGAAATAAGAGAAAAAATTAAAAGGAAGTTTTTCAAGATCAAATAAAGGCATTCCTAGGCCAAGTCTAAAAATAAATTAAATGCATAACATAATAAAGATATAAGTTTCAATTACCAATAACTTCTGTACAAGATCTTTAGCCAAAACTGAAAATCCATCAGGAAAGTCATATTCCAGCTTAGATATCTTCTGAAACATTAAGTATTCATTCCTGAAAAGCAAATTAGAAAATAGCATATACTATACATTTGTTTTTAGTAAAAATTACATTAAAATAAATCATTATGCTTACGCTGCTCTAAATGGTGGAAGACCAGAGACCATTTGATAAATTATACATCCTAAGGCCCATAAGTCAACACTGGAAAAAAAATAATTACAGAATATGTACTAAACATATATATATATAAAATCCTTTACACAAAAGCAAAGATTAAATTTTTTGCAAAATTCTTCCCTTGTTTACTTTCTTAGTTCCAATCAATGATTTAGTATCTTAAGTTTTTTAATTTCTTCTAGCAGATCAATGTCTTATTATCTTAGATTTTTTGCTTTTATGTAGTTCATGTATTAATTTACTTGGTAAAATTCGGGTCTTATTGCTGATGAGTTGGATCTAACAATACTTTTAAAATATAATTTAGCAGCACTTTGCACTAATTTATGCTTTTAGTACTAGCATACTTTATTCTCAACTCGTTGAGTACTTCTTTTCTCTTTAAATCCTCTGCACTTTATAAACACACAATACAATACATTCTATAAGTATTTCAATTAAATACAATCTCATCATGAATTAGCAACATTAAGCACAAGACAGGTGAAAATATAATTTGTTCTATGACACATATAAATTACAATAATTTACATGAATTACAACACCTTAATTAAAAGATTATGAAGGAAAATACTTTCTGCTAATTATTACTGTAAATTTTGTAATGGTTCAAATGCTATGATATGGACCAATATAAGATTAAAGATAATGTATGCAACTTTCTTTACAACATGCATAAATTTTTACAAAATTTCAAAATTTTCTTTTTCAATTAATTAAAAAAATATCAGCTGAAGATTGCCAAATCAAGAATGTATATTACATCAAGCCAATAAAAAAAAGTAAAGCATAATTGCTGAAATTCTCAGCAAGAAATCAATGTACATAATCACTAAGAAGTTACATTAAAAGTAAAATATGGTTTTCTGACAAATTAGGAATGTCTTCATGGACTACTACTTAAAAAAAAAAAAAAAAAGCTTAAATTCACAGTGCACAAGAAGCAATAGCAATTATGCTAATTTGTTCTGTCATTTATGAAAAAGGCACTACAGGGCTGGGATATCATCCAGTCATCACAACTAGCTTCTGGTAGATAGGCCACTTGTTCTTCATATTTTTCTCTGGCTGAAAGACCTACCAGAAATCTGAAAAATCATCCTAACTGAGGACTACTGTCAAGTATTTACACTGAAATGCCACTGAATTAGGGATAGCAAGTCAATAACAAGGTGGGCCTTTTCTGACCTTGATAATGGCTGCTACATAACAAGGCATAGACTAAAAGGTTTGTGAAGCATTCAATGCAAATGGCTTGCCAAACAATGGACAGAGTTATCCATAATTCAGGAAAAGTCGCTAGTGTTTGTGATGTGGTTTCACACCTTTCTCCATATATCCTAAGTGATTAATGCCATTTTGAATTTTAAAAAGGTGAAAAAACATAATGTGCACCATCTTTCTTCTCAACATATAGCCGAATGCATTGCACAATTCTTTATCAGAAATATTTATCTGGATAAAAATGGAAAAATGTAGTCACAATAGATGAATATTGGAAGTACTTAAATGACTGCAATAAAAATAAGATCCATTTATCAACCTCAAAGAGCAGAAAAAATCTTCAAACATGGTTCAAAGAATCTAAAGAAACTTTTTCAAAGGGACTTAAGACTGCTGCTGGTTTTTCATATAACAGGAAATGAAAAACAAAGGGACTGGGAAAAAAATGTTAAGATCAACTCCACATATTATCAGGAACATATACCCAACTTTCAAATATAAAATAACTTCTCTTTACCTACAGTGCTACCAATCAGTAGAACAGCATCAAGATAAAAGTAGGCAGGCACAATCTTAATTAATCAGACACATGCCAAAATTAATCGTTAATTTCCCAGAAAAAATTGAACAAGAAATGGGTATCAAAGCCATACCCTTCACTCATATCCCTAGTAAATTTCCTGATGTATCTATCATCCAAGAATTTTTTGCACTTTTCGACTTTTAAAAAGCAAATTGTCCAAATGTTGACCTACAATCCTCCTTAGACTTTGGAAAGCTGTACTATACGAATGGGATAAAATACCTCTTCCAATACTACAAAGGATTAGAATTTATGGTGTATAATAGTGAAGAATAAGGGTTATCAAACAGAACATTTAAAACACAAAAGTTTTAGATAAAATATTTCTGTAAATACAATGCAAATCATCTAAAAAATGTTCGAATAGCCTCTGCAATCATTCATATAATTATATGAACTTTCGATAATAGTTCTGTACAAGAATGCTAAAAGAGATTTAATCAGTTTATTTAGAGAGAAACGTTAAAAGAGATTTAATCGGGTTTAATCCAACTTCAATCTGAACACTTCAGCTCAAAATTTTACAATATAGTTTTTCTTTTTCTCTATATGACAAAGAGCAAATAACGTTTTTGCACACGACAAACTTAGTTTGCTCCAACAAGAAGTTGATTGAGCCTATCGCTGAACTTTATATAGTTTAAAAGTTTTTAATTTATGTAATCCCTGAATGACATATTTGTTAAAAAAAAAAGAAAGATTTTGCAAACTTAACAGAGTACAGAGTCTACATTTCCCTAATCTGAAAACTCTAGACTACAATTACTTTTATTACATCCACTTTTGCTTTTTTGATAAGAGTTCTTGTTTTCTTTTCTTTTTTTAACAGTAATAATAATAATTCAAAAGGGAAATTTTATTACCTTGGTGATGCACTTTTATCACTTAACATTTCAGGAGATACATATTGAGCGGTTCCTACAAATGAATTTTTTCTTGCAGGTTCACCACTAGAAGCTACAGTTAAGAAAATAAATTTAAAAAAAGAGGTGAATTTTAAATATATAATAAGCACATAAAGTGTCTCACAAAAGTGATGGGACACTTGTGCTTTACGAAAGGAAACTGTAATAAAATAAATTAAAAAAACATGTAAAAATTTTTTGTGGGTGTATTTCATACTTAAATTTAGTAACAATTATTACATAACATACATTTTCTCAAAATATTAAAATAGTAATTTAATAAAAATACAATTGTTTAGAACGGAGCAAGAAATGGCTCACATAAGTGATGGGACACTTACTTTTCCATCAAATATTTATCCAAAAATTTTACTTCTTAAAATGTTTTAATATTTTGTTGGATTTCCTTTTACTTTTGAAACATGATTTAATCTTCTTGGGATGGATTCGACTAATTTTTTTTTTTGTGATTTCTGGAGTGATTTTACCCCATTCTTCTTGAAGCAATGATTTTGATTGTTGTTTTGAAGAAATGGTGTGTTTGCGAATTCTTGATTCCAATTCTTGCCAAATATTCTCTATGGGATTTAAGTCTGGAGATTGTGGTGGTGTTTTTATTATTTCAGGACAGTTATACAGCAGCCAGAGTCTAACGTTCAAAGCAGTGCTTGCTGGGGTCATTGTCCTGGTAGAATTTAAAATCGTTATGAAGGTTCAATTTTCGTGCTGAAGATTTCAAATTTTGATTTAAAATGTCAATATACTTGTACTGATCCATTTTACTGTCAATAAAAACAAGATTACCAACTCCAGCGGACGACATACACCCCCATACCATAACTCCTCCTCCACCATGTTTTACTGTTGGCACCAAGTTCTGTTTGCGAAATTCTTTCCTGGGTTTTCTCCACACCAAGATTCTACCGTCAGAACCAAATATATTAAATTTACTCTCATCAGCAAATATAACTTCATTCCAGTAATCAGAATTCTTATTTATGTTGGATTTTGCGAAAGCCAGTCTGAGTTTTCTCTTCTTTTCACTTACAAAGAATTTTTTCCTGGCTGCTCCAGCAGATCGAATTATTCTTCTAATAGTCTCAGGATTAACAATTACTCCATATAATGCTTGTAAATCAGCAGCAACTTTAGGAGCACTCATTCTTGGATTTTTTTTAAATATTTTGAACGATAATTCGCTTTATTCCATTGGATAGCTTTGATGGTTGGCCAGGTCTTCTTTTATCCTGAATCATATGATTCTTTTAATCGTTTAATGATATTGAAAGCTGTTGAATGACTCATGTTAACTGTTTCAGCAGTTTCTCTAATAGATTTTCCACGTTCAATATGCAAATTAATAAATAATTTTCGAATTTCAGGCAAAGTTTCTTTTCGTTTAGCATTCATGGCTGCACAGAGCTAAAAAACACAAAAATTCCAAAACAAACTGGAGAGAGAAAGACTGCAGACGATTTATAAATTATTGCCAATTGCTTTTGAGTAAAAATAAAAACCCCCAAAAATATTTTTATTGTATTATGTAGTAGTATCTAATGGTGTCCCATCACTTATGTGAGCCATTTTTTGCTCCGTTCTAAACAATTGTATTTTTATTAAATTAACTATTTTAATATTTTGAGAAAATGTATGTTATGTAATAATGTTACTAAATTTAAGTATGAAACACACCCACAAAAATTTTTACATGTTTTTTAAATTTATTTTATTACAGTTTCTTTTTGTAAAGCACAAGTGTCCCATCACTTTTGTGAGACACTGTATAATAATAATGTTAAGTTACAACAATAAAAATAAGAAAACCATATGGATACTCACAATCATTATTCTCGGCATTTATGACTTTTGCAGATCCAAAGTCTGTAATTTGAATATGCATATTTTCATCCAGCAGAATATTTTCAGGTTTTAAATCCCTATATAAGTACACATTCAACATTTACATAGTGATTCATATTCAATTAACATCATCACTTTTATATGAATAACCTTGCAAATTATGCAATAAATAAATAAATACCATATAAACTGACATAAAACCATCTCATGTTAGGTGATAAAGCAATTTCAGCTGGTGCCACAAAAGGGAAGCTATTAACTTTTTTCAGTATCATTGAGTACTGTCGAAAAGTTATGGATGTTCAAAATCCTAAGACATCAAATTATATATCCTAAAGAATAGGTACCAGAAAATGTAAAGTCCAGGTAGACAACAAGAACAAACAAAGGAGCACTCAAATTCCATTTGCAACCAGCTGTATGACTTCCAGGAAAGTCTTCCAAGTCTGCGGGTGCTAGGTTTGGAGAGTATGGTGGATTTCAACGACACCATGCTGGGCTAAGAATCGCCTCACAGGCAACACAATGTGTGGGCGGGCATTGTCATGTAGCAGCAGCCAACTCACATTTTGTTGAAAATGAGGCCTCACTCTACGAATTCCTTTTCGAAGTCGGTCAAGAACTTCTGTTTAGAACTGTCCATCGATAGTCATGTTAGGAGGAAGAAATTCACGATGAATGAGTTAATCGCAATTGAAGAAAGAGATTAACACAACCTTGATTTTAGACTTTTGAAATCGAAATTTTTTCTGCCTTGGTGAGCTTGGAGACCGCCATTCAAAAGTTCTTGAGCGGGATAACGATTCCACACCGTAAACTTGTTTTAACATTTCGTACATTTCCACAGCTGTCTTGCCCAATTTGAAGCAAAATTTAATGTTGATTCTTTGCTCCATTTTCACTTTGACAATAGGAATTTAAGAGCTACGTTTTAATGCGCCTTTCCACAAGAACTACTTACTTCAGAATGGTGGCGACTGCACTGCACATGCGCAAGAAAACGCTCTTCAATATGCAATCATTAGTGCCATCTTTCGACTTTTCGTTCTCCTACAGTTACAGCAGTCCTGGAAATTAATAGCCGGACCTTGTATATGTGAGAGACTCATTTACCATGCAATTCACGAAATTTCTTTTCTCACATAGTAAATTACCCTGTTATGTTAGGGACACCATGCTTATCCTTACAAGTTCTACACACGATGCGGCTACCAGCCCAGAGGCCCGACAAAATATGTGCATAACACCTGAGCCTTCCACAGCAATATCACAAAATAATTTTAAAATGAGCATATCTTTAGAATTTCCGATACACAGTCTCGCACACTGAAGATAAAAATGCCCCCCCCCGCCAGTGTTGCCATTGCTCACTTTGAAATCATTGAGTTTGTTAATAAAAAAAATTCATTGAAGTGTTACAAAATATGAAATAGATAGTAATATAAGTTCCAGATTCCAAATTTGGGCTTCCAGATGGCCATATTTGACTCTGGGTACCATTGTGTCATCATAATGCGAGAAACATACATAGATTTATACAGATGCTTCATTATTTAATTTCTTTAAATATAATACAGGGCAATAATATTTGGTGGCAACAATTTGAAAAGTGAACCAACTTACCCTGAATCGATGAAAATGCCAAAACAAATCAATAGTCCTTCTGGGCAAATTGCCCCTTTGGACTAAATTAACAGTTTATTTAAAAATAATAAAGCAATAAAACATATCTGATTAAATGAGATAAAAAGCAAAATACTGACCTGTGAATTATAGATAATTTATGCAAATGCTCAATTGCAAGCAATATTTCAGCAGTATAGAACCTTGTACATTCCTCATCAAATGAACCAACTTTGATAATATAAGGAAGAAGTTCACCATGTTTTGCATAGTTCATTACAAAATCTTTTTAAGTTAAGAAAAGCTAAATCAAGTTACAAAATATAATGCACATATCATTTACAGAATTCTCTTCAAACACATTATAATTTATTTAAGCACATTCAATTATGTTAAACATTGCAACATTTTTAAATAACTAAAATGAGATTATGCAAATAATCAAATAATTTCTTTAGAACGAAAAATATGTTGAGTCTCTATTAAACAAATGCACCACATTAATGGTGACTTCCTTTTCTTTTCAATGGACTGTTTCCAATCAAAATAGGAGACCCAATGCATTGCTGCTAGAGGATACTGATAATGGAAGAAGCCTTATCTCATGCATATCTGTCAATGTATGTTCAGTTGAATTTCTTTTATTACTGTGATCAAAATGAGACTAAAACATGTATGCAATAATACCGTTCATTTTATTATTTTACACTGCAAATTGGGTTTTTATGTTAAGATTTTTCTTTTTAGAGAGGATTAATCTAAATTTTTTATCTTTAGGATAGCTAAAAAGAAATATACTTTTATAAACATTTATGGTAAATGAAAATGAATGCTTTCATTTAACATTTAATTAATGTTATTAAATATTTCAGTGAAAATCACTATTCATGACATGATAAAAAAATAATCCCATTAAAATATGAAATTATAAGCTTATCGTTCACAACCAATTTTAAGGCGAACTACAGCAGTGGATTGATTCTTCTTCTTAAAAAAAAAAAAAAAAAAAAAAAAAAAAAAGCATATTAAGTGACAGGCAGTTTTTTTTTTTTATTAACTGCTTTGAGAATTTCTCCATTTCTGTTTCGAGAATCAACTGCTTGGATTATTAAAGAAATGGAAGATGATGTTCCAGACATATATGTGGTAATGAACCTTAGTATCATGGCTTTTCCCCCCCTTGCATTGATAATATTTGAATGCCGGGGAGATTAATTTCAGACACCGGAAATCATATTTTTCATAGAAATAATGAGTTGTTAAGAATAGTTACATAAAAATTGAAAAATTCAGAAAGCCCTCAGATTGCTGGAAAATTTCAGGAGTAGGTGAAAGTGGAGAAGAAATATGTTAGAAACTGGGTTAGTAGGAGGACGGTCAAAAAGCAGGAGTCTCCTTAAATTGGGAAAGATGGCATTTGTAGATGGGTAATTTATTACAGCAAAGCATCCAAGGGCTTTCTGAGACCAATTTACATGCAAAAAATATTGATACATCAACCTATTCTAAAGGCAGAAACAGCATGCAGTTGTGGTAGTGTCACCGGATTGTGGCCTTTTCAAACAATAAAAGGATACATAACCTATCACTATCTTGAAATGTGCAATATAACTTAATAAAAAACGGGCTAGGATGATTATTGAGAATATTTAAAATTTGTTTCTCTCTCATTACGGCTTTCTGCTTCTTCTCTCGCAAAATGTGTCGCTTCTCACATACTTTAACTGCAAATAGCACACAAAAAAATAACAATTAAAAAACATTAATCTAATAACAAATAATTTAGAGATATAACAATAAAAAACTTCTATAAATAGGCATTTTAATTCTTACAAAAAGTACAATAATTTATAATTTCATACTGTATCCTTTGTTAACCTATTTAACAAGTTATTTATTTGACCATAACTATAAATTTTATCTTATATAATGGTTACTGTAATACAAATTGCTTTTAAACAAATCATATTAAAATTTTTAATTAAATAGTTCTATGATTTTAATTAAATACATTCACATGTCTTCTTATAGGATCTTCATTTTTTATATGATATGCTCAGTTGAATCACTTCATTCAAAAATTAAAAAACATGAACATATATTAATATTTTTATCACCATTCAAATCAAAGTAGGATCAAAATAAAATTAAGGACGATAAACCTTCTATACTTGCAAGCCGATTTAAAATTCAAAACTGCGACATTAGGAATTGCCACATAAATATTTCTTGGCAATATGGAGTTTTGCCTCATCAACAGTTTTTCGTATCTTTTTAGCTGAGGATGCAGATAACCAGAAAGTACAAATTCTTCAGTAATTAAAGAAACAACATCAAATGCTTTACAAAGCAACCAAACTTTAAATGTGAATTGAGTACTTGTAAGAAAAAAATTCTGTTAACATACCAAAAAAATGAGCTATAAATTGATTTAATAGTTACAATTTCTTTTTTTGGCAAATGATAGTTATGCAATGAATGAAACATTAACCTTGCAAGAAAATAATGAAAAACCAAGCAAAGCATATAATCATTTGTCACTGAACTGATGGTTAATGTATCAAAAGAATTAACCTTTCCCGCTTTTAAGTATATCTGAATCAACCAATATTGTCCTTATGTATTTAGAGGAATACCCAAATCCAATGATTTAAAAACTCAACCTAAAAATGTCAGGTTAAGAGAGAAAATTTCTGCCCACATATGCCTGTATGCTTTTCTGTTCTTAAAATATTAACTACATTTCTCCTCTCTATAACACATCTTTACACAAACTAATATGAATTAGAATCAATCGAAGATTATTTGCAAGTTAGATAAAGTACAGTTAGAAAATTATATCGAATTTATAACATAAAAAGTCTGGGATAAACCTTCTTTATTGTGCCATCTATGTAGCATCTTATATAGCTAATGTCTTCTATGTAGCAAATCCAAAGTCAAAAAGTTAGTTTCTCAAATAGTGCACGTTAATGACTAATCCTTCAGTTTGGTGATAATATTAGGAAAAAAAAAAAACTTGTTAATTAGAGAAATTAAATTTTCAGTTTTGGTATATGTAAAATGAAATTCTTGAAACCTAGTTTTATTTAATGCTCCCTCAACTGAAAAACTATAAACATTGATTTAATAGCTAAAGAAACCATAATAGAATACAGGGGAGAAAAATCTTCTCAACAGCTTTAAGACAACCTTCTTTCACAATGTTAATATTTCTAGTAAGTAAGCAGAAAGTAAGGAAAGCAGAAAATAAGGAAGTAGAAAGGTCAAAAGGAATTCTAATTCTGTGGACTTTGAGGAGATCATAAAACCTAGCACAGTTAGCAGCAGATGGAATGAGTGATTTTTAAAACTGAGTTGGGAGTATATGAGATGATTTAACAGATGTTTTAGTTTTCGTGAAGTCAGAAGTTGAAGCACCTTTAAGGATAAAGTCCAATGATAATCCTCAGATAAACATTAGTTTGTTAATTTTGCATTATGAGAATTAAATATTCACTCTAAAGTTTCATTCAATAATGAGCACAAAAATAAAACTGAATTCGGTATACTGAAAATACACCAATATTTCATTAATAAGAAAAATTAAAGATTTAATGTGAAGGCACAATATATTGTTGTACTTTTTTTTTCACTCTTTCAACAAAATTTCCTAAAAAGCTGTTAAAATCTTTTTCATTTAGATACAAACTGTAAAAATCTACAATGAATAACTTTTTTTTTTATCAAACACTCGTTTTTGGACACAATAAAATATAAAAATTATTAACATAAAACTTACTTGCATATTCTTTATTAGAATGAATATCTTTGGCTAAATACACCTAACATAAAAAAAAAAGAAGTATAAATTGACAGTATTTGACAGAATGTATTTTTTTCTATACATATATATCTCTTCATAAAATACCTTAAAAAAAATCAGTTTAAATTTATTAGGCATTTAAAGGGTGTACCTTAAACTTTGGAGGTAACAGAATACATATATTCATATTGCATGCATAACATAATTAAATATTTTTTATTATTTATCTATTAAATATTTTCCATTTATTTTCAGCCCCCCTAAAAGCTATGACAAAGAGTTGAGAACTCAGCGACTTTGGAGAGAAACATTTGGATATAACATGAAATGGAATATAATGGTGATGAAATAGATGTAAACTCTTCTTTACATCTTTTTCAACAATGCATACAGTTCCACCTATTTTTTGGTCTGTAAAAGACATGCACACTTCTTGGCTTTTTGTAATATACATAGGGATCTGTTTAAACTAAAAGAAAGGGGGGGAACAGACAAGCACAAACTTAATACCAGAATCCTAAAACGAGAAAGAAAAACAGGTACATGATGCCTTTAAGCAAGTTATTTTCTACTTTACAGAAATAACTGAAGGTGACAAAAGCTGCTAGGTGAGATCATAATCTGCAGTCACACTGATGAAAATGTTCGTAAAAGCAGAAAGCAGCTGAGAGGATGCTACTTGTATACCTTGATTGCCAATAAACCTTGATTATGTATAACCAATATAACCTTGATTGCTTCATCAACAGTTTTTTGTATCTTTTTAGCTGGGGATGCAGATAATCAGAAAGTACAAATTCTTCAGTAATTAAAGAAACAACGGCTAAAGTGCAGAATCACCCACTCATTTGGCACATTGTGTTTGGCACTTTTTACAAGGTTGATAAGTTTGCCAAATGTGGTATCCAAGTCGATTTTGCCGTTCTGGAATTTCAGAGTATTTTTGCGCATGCGTAGTATGTATTTTAAACTCAGAATTACTTTTTAGTGCGAAATTTGGAGCATTTTTGTGCGTGCTCAGTATGTATTTTAAAATTTAGAATTTCTGTTTGGTGTATACGATAACAGATGGTAGAGATGCAGTTATTTTAAACAATAATTAGAGAACATTTTGAGAATTTGTTACTTTTAGTTCATAGGCTGAGCGGAGTGGATTACCCCTTTTCAGGTAAGTGAAAGTATTTTAAATTTTCAGTGTTTTGTAACAATTTTAAGTATTTGAAAGTTACTATGTTTTTGGAACGATTTTTAGTTTTTAAAATTATGTTTTTGTAAGGACTGGATTTTCATATTTTAAAATATTTTGAAAGTGAAAGTATTAATTTTTCAGGGTTTTGTAAGGATTTTATGTTCTTTAAACTTACTATGTTTTTTAAACGATTTTAGTTTTTAAAGTTATTAGGTTTTTTTTTTGAAAGGATTTCCAGTTTAAAAAATTTCCCACTTATTTGTTTGGCGTTTTTTACAAAAGTAAGAAGAATTGGATTTTTGTCAATTTTATTTGACTTTTTAAGTGAAAATAGATCCATGTGTACATGGATAAAGTCAAGAGAGTACGCAATGCCCTTTTTGTGCAATTCTGGGATTTTTTTTAAGTGAAAATAGGTAGATGTGTACATGGATAAAGTCAAAGGAGTGGACAATGCCATTTTGTGCAATTCTAGAATTTTTTTAAGTGAAAGTAGGTCAATGTGTACATGGATACCAAGTTTGTAAAATTCTTAAAAACGCGTCAAGCAGTAGGTGATTCTGCACTTTCCCCAATTTTTTTTATAGGTAAATGTATTTTAATTCTTCAAGGTTTTTAATGATTTTAAGTTTTTGAAGCTTACTACGTTTTCTTAACCATGTTTATTTTTTTTTTTAATTATTATGCTGTTTTTAAAGGATTTTCAGTTTTCAAAATTTTGCTTCACTTTTATTTTGTATTTATTTTACATGTTCGCCATTGTAAATGTTGGGCCTTGCATAGTGTCTTTTGGAGGGTATGCAAATACAGGAGAAAAGATGCGAAAGCATGCCAAGTTTGGCGATTTTGAAAAATGTGCCAAGCAGTGGGCGATTCTGAACTTTCCCCGAAACAACATCAAATGCTTTAAACAGCAACCAAACTTTAAATGTGAATTGAGTACTTGTAAGAAAAAATTCTGTTAACATATAAAAAAATCAAGCTATAAATTGATTTAATATTTACAATTTCTTTTTTGGCAAATGATTATTATGTAATGAATGACACATTGCTGCATGAAAACAATGAAAAACCAAGCAAAACATATAATCATTTGTCACTGAACTGATGATTTTAGCAACTACTGATAGTATGTAACAATCGGTGGCATGCCACATGTGGTGGCCACTAAATCAGTAGCCTCCATCCTTCACTTAAGCAATTCAATTAAATTTTTGGTCATTTCAGCTCATCCACTGCTAATGGTGGATAAATATGTTCATATTCACAATTTCATCAAAGTCCAAACTATTAGCATTCATCCTCTTTCTTATCTCAGACATACTCAAATGATGGTACCCACATCAAAATACAACACCAAAGCACGGGCAACCAAACATAGCAATTGAAAAGAATGGTAAGAATCAGAAAACCCCAATTCATGCAAAAGGGGTACTGTCATAAAAAATAGCCAAAATCTCAATCTATCACAACATATTTGGTGATATTCGCAGAAATAACTCCTTTTTAATGACAAAAACTAAAAAAAAAAAAAAACATTATGAACATTAGGATTATCGAAAAACCTATTTTCCGCAACGGACTTCCAGATTTCACGAAAAACCAATACAGTCAAAAGTCATTAATCCGGACTCGTCAGGACTTCGGCGATTCTGGATTATAGATCATCATTTTAAATCTGGTAAGATGGCATGCAGAAATTATAAAATTAAAACTATGAAACCGTAATTTATGAAATAAAGAACAATTATGATCTAAAGGGTATCAAATTACAAAAAAAAAAAAAAAAAAAAAAAAAAAAAAAAAAAAAAAAAAAAGCTTATTATTTGTTTACTTTATTAAACATTTGGTTAATCTTTAGATTATGGTAACTTTGCGATTTTTTGGCGACCAACCCTGCTACAGCCACCTGCTAGTTTTTTTTTTTTTTTTTTGGACGATATCATTTTGTTTTCATGAAGTAAAGGCATGTTTATTTATTTATTTATTAATTTTAAACTCTACATTTTCCCCCAACAATCTGATAGCCGAATTACACTTATGCTAGAATTTTTATGGAACAAAAGTGCTTAATCATGACGAAGATTAGGTGGAAATTGGGAGAAAGTGCAGAATCGCCCACTGCTTGCCATGTTTTTAAGAATTGCACATACACGGTATCATCCATGTACACGTCGACCTATTTTCACTTTAAAAAAATCCCAGAATTGCACAAAAATGACATTGCGCACATTCTTGACTTTATCCATGTACACTGCTAAAGTCCTAGCTAGTAACTATTATCACCTTATAAAAATGTCACCAAACTACCTGTTACCATATTCCAAAGATCAGCGAAACATTTCTTTCAATGCAAGTTGTTTAAGTTGCTTTGTTTTATGTGATAATACTTTCTCTTTAATTCTATAAACAGACATGATTTCTTGTTCAGTTACAAAGTTCCGCTGTTCAAGTCCTATAATTGCTGTGTCGAGAATACCGACTAATTTGTCAATCAAAATTTTTTCATTTTCAATAACCTCTGCGTCACTTTCTTCACTATTGGAAGTGAATTATAATGACGAGGAATTTGATTTTAATCATATCAAAGACGGAGTACATCGAGATGAAATACTACATTTAGTAAGGAATTATAATCGAAATAAAATAAAAACATCTGCCCTGAAGATAAGGATAGTGCTGACAGATCAACTTCCAATTCATTGCGCGCCGCGACGTCCACCCCCCTGCTGCAGAGCAGCGTGAAATTGATAAACAGATTTCGGAATGGTTAGAGAAACAAAGGATATGCCTTTATCCATTTTTTGCAGCAATTCCACTTTTTGTTTGATGGACATCGAAACATACTTTCGCTTTGTAGATCCTTTGGATCAGAAATTCAGCATCAGAAATTCTATTTGACATAATCGAAAGTTCAAGCTTACTTTTATAAAATCTAACAGTCTGCAAAAAATAATAAGCCGGATCCCATTCGGAGATTAAGGAACAACGCAACCTGCAACATTAACTAAAATAGATAATTAGATAATTTTAGCTTATACCGTCTGTTATACATTAAACGCGCATGCGTAAACGTAATATGCGCATGAGTAAACGCCCATGCACGTGCGTCAACGCGACGCATGTGCAGAAAGTTTGTAGCTTTGAGGTCCGGATTATGGGTGTCCGAATTAACGACTTTTGACTGTACCACTTGGCGTTTTTTTTCACACAGAAACCCAGGGGTACCGTACAGTAAAGATCAGCCCTTGATTCCTTTTCTTCCAATCCTTTTCTTTCAATGTAAATCCTACCCGAAATCGGATACATTAAAAGCTGGCAGAAATTTTCATGTGTAATGAATAAGAAAACTATCCTTCTATATGGAATTTTACATCCACAATGCTGAAAGTGTTAATAGATAAAGTACACATACAAATCATTAATAATAAAAAGAAGAAAAAAAAAAGTTTTTTAAAGCCATCTAGGTGAGAAACAAAGGTTTTACTGTATAAGAGCCTTAAAAGACGAATTTTGGCATATGCATGTGATGCCTGGAACATGATGCACACGAACGAGGATATGTTGGGCATTTTTGAAAGGAAGGTTTTTAAGAAGTATTTTTGGAGGAATACAAAAAGATGGTGTGTGGCTTAGAAGATAAAATTTGGAGCTATATCGCTCATATAATGAATCTGACATCATTGATTTCATGAAATGCCAAAGAACAAAATGGGCAGGCCACATTATCAGAATAAATGAACACCATGCAACAAAAAAGTCTTCGACCCCAGACCAACAGGCATACAAGAAAAAAAGCACACCAAATCTCAGATGGTTAGATTGCCTAGAAAATTACTTACTAGAATTAAAAACCAAAACCTGGAAAATGCTAGCAGGAGAAGATTGGCTTGGAAAAAGCTTCTTGAAAAGGCCCACGGAGAATTGAAAAGAGACTAAAAAAAGAACTGAGAAACTTAAAGAATAAATACTTAAAAAAAAAGTATGCCATTACTCAACACTGCATAAGAAATTCTCATCACATACTGCAGTGCTCCGCAACCTTTTCTCACCTGCGACGCACAAAAAATCTTTCTGGAATTTCGTGGCACACCAAAGAGTTCCGAGTTATCAAGGAAGTGCCGAAAAAATTCAAATGCTGACACACTTACAATCACACACACAACCACACAACAGTGAAATATATAAAAACATTTAAAATAGACATTATTAAGGGAAAAAATTGTCATTGTGTATTAAATACATGATAAAAAATTGCAAAATGTCAAATACATGTATTTGATTGCGGCAGACCTATATTCTACTCATGGCACACCAGTGTGCCGCGGCACACCGGTTGCGGAGCACTGATATACTGCTATGTTGCCTTTAAAATTGCTGTTGAACTGTATATGGCATAAGTGCTAAGAAAATGAAGCTTTCAGATTTTTTTGTTGTCTATTTATAGATATGAAAAACCATGAAAATCCCACGTAGCCAGCCTATTTAGTTGAAGGAGAGATTCAGGTATAAAATACCACAGTTTTGCAGCTTTATTTGCTTGTCTACTGGCAGCACCTTCTCTACACTCACAGGGAGAAGCAATACATAATAACTTCTGTTAACAAATGACATTTAGATTATAAATCATAAAATAAACAATACATATTTCTATTATCATCACGAAAGCTATCTTTTTGTAAAATTGTGTACAATGTAATGCTTATTACAATTAAGACCTTATATAAACATATAGAAATCTGCCAGTCAGATAATGAGGCTTACACTCACCATAGAGAATGATCCTTCGCCAATGAGTTTCCCAAATCTAAAATCTTTTGCTGACTTCTTCAATGGTTGTTTTGATGAGCTAGATGAATTTTGTTCTGTTGAGGTATCAACTGTTCCATTATTAGAGGAATCTTTCTCATCTTTTACTCGGCTCTCAGAAGGCTATAAATAAAATATCAATCTTAAGATACACACCAGAAAAGTTTATAAAACACATAGTGCATGAGAAAGTTCCTAGTTTTACTAACAAAGGGATTTTCGAGGGAAGAAAAGGCACCAAATTTATTACGAGAATATATTTTTTATTCTAAAGGTTATTTTTATTCTTAACTATACTACTGCAAACTGAAAAACGTTCTATTTGATGTCGATGAGTGATAATAATATAAGAAATTGGAAATGACTTATGGAAAGTTTTTTAGAGATGATAGTTTAGTAACGCTTAAAGTGACTAATGTGTAGAAAAAACTGTTTTAAAAAGACACATACAATGATTTATTTTAAGGTTATAAACTCGACAGATATTTTAATATTTTAACTTTTAAATTTGAACACGGCTTATTACATTTCCAAATAAAAAATCCACTTACTTCTCTCGTACTCATTTTCAGATCTTCCGAGGATTACATCCAAGAGCTTAAATATTTAAAAAACATCAGTGATTATACAAAATAAAATTACACGACTCGGATAAAACAAGAAAAAAAAAAAAATTAACTTTGCAACCAAACGCTTTAAAAGCGAGAAGTAGTGTTGTTATTTTCCTCCTTTATGTTAGACCTTTTTTTTAAAAGATATTTATCCTCTTAAGAAATACATATGAAATAATTTTATATAATGTCAATAATGTATTGTAATTAAGACTACGTGTAATATTAATTTACATCCAGAATTAATAAATCTTATTTTTAATTAACCTTTTCCACGCATAGTGTAATTTTACTTATCAAATATTCGTAAAATTATCTGTTATTAATTTCTAAAATATTTAAAACATAAGTAATTGTAGTTTATTAAATAGCATATTACCAAACTTCGTGTGTCATGAATTTTTTTTTTCTTAATGTTGAACAGTTTCCGTGCTCACGTTCTTTGTGTACTGCATTGCGTTAGTGGGTGGGTTTTCGTTTGCGGTAATTTCATTTATCAAGGTAAAAAGTTTTGCATGTGTACCTTATCTTGGAAATTCTTGGTTATAACTCGCCATAGAACTGTTCATTTAGTACTTAGATTTTTTTCGAAAAATTTTGTAGCTAATATGCTTCTAAATGAAAATACTTTATTTGTATGTTAAAAATATTAGCAATGCTTCACGTCTTCTTAATTTACTGTTTGAAATCCAGTTTCGGCAACTGTTATTTAAAATGTTTGTTCATTTTCAGTTTTAAATTTAGATTGCTAAAGGCACTTTTGATGACTACGTGTCGTTTATGGACTCTTAATTCCCTGAGTTTTCTCCACACCAAGATTCTACCGTCAGAACCAAATATATTAAATTTTATTCTCATCAGCAAATATAACTTCATTCCAGTAATCAGAATTCTTATTTATGTTGGATTTTACAAAAGCCAGTCTGAGTTTTCTATTCTTTTTACTTATGAAGAATTTTTTCCTGGCTGCTCTACCGTGATATCCAGCAGATCGAATTACTCTTCTAATAGTCTCAGGATTAACAATTACTAAATTTAATGCTTGTAAATCAGCAGCAACTTTAGGAGCACTCATTCTTGGATTTTTTTTTAATATTTCAAACGATAATTCGCTTTATTCCATTGGATAGCTTTGATGGTCGTCCAGGTCTTCTTTTATCCTGAATCATATGATTCTTTTTATATCGTTTAATGATATTGAAAACTGTTGAATGACTCAAGTTAAGTGTTTCAGCAGTTTCTTTAATAGATTTTCCACGTTCAATATGCAAATTAATAACTGATTTTCTAATTTCAGGCAAAGTTTCTTTTCGTTTAGCATTCATGGCTGCACAGAGCTGAATAACACAAAATTTCCAAAACAAACTGGAGAGAAATACTGCAGACGATTTTATACATTATTGCCAATTGCTTTTGAGTAAAAATAAAAGCCCCTAAAAATATTTTTATTGTAGTACGTTAGTAGTATCTAATGGTATCCCATCACTTATGTGAGCCATTTTTTTGCTCCGTTCTAAACAATTGTATTTTTATTAAATTAATTTTAATATTTTGAGAAAATGTATCTTATGTAATAATGTTACTAAATTTAAGTATGAAACACACCCACAAAAAATTTTTACATGTTTTTTAAATTTATTTTATTGCAGTTTCCTCTCCTTTTGTAAAGCACAAGTGTCCCATCACTTTTTTGAGACACTGTATGATTATTTTCTGATCGTCTTAGTTGAATAACTGTAGTGTCTGTTAGCAGTTTTGTCAAATGTTTTTCCGTATATCAATACTTTTTTCTATTCAGAGTCGCATTTACCATCTTTAATTTCAGTCTGAAGTATGTCAAAAAAACACACATGTAAATTTTTTTACTCTTTTTTTTTTTTTTTTTAACACAATGAAAGTCGGATGTTTTTTTTAATCCATCATTTATTAATTTAGTAAATTAGAAGCAAAGTAGTAACATTTTTTTCTATTATCTTGCCTCTGATTTACTTAAATTAAATATGAAATTTTGTGTACAAAGAAATGTATCTTCATTTTTTAAAGGCAGTGTTAATTGTAAAATTATATTAAAAAAAATTCCTATCTTTTGTTTTTTAATATTTGATCCTAAGGATTTCGTATGTCATTCAGTTGATTATTGGTATTTTATTCTTCAGTGCAGCGTTATGATTATATTTTATAGACACTTTTGTAACTAAGTGTATAATTGTAAGATGTATATAATTTATAAATTAAATTACATACTATTAAAAATTTTAAGATGTGCTACATTTTTCATTATCAGTAAAATTGAATAAAGTATATAGACTCGTACTGAATGCAAAAATAACTTATAAAGCATTTTAATTTAAAATTCTTCTCTAAAATTTAGGATACGATAGGTGGTGATGGATTTTTCTAGTATAAAACCTGAAAGGTTAGATTGTGCCAGATGCATGGTGAATATATCACCCTTTCTTGTTTAAGTGTTGCATAACATTTTGGAAGCAATTAAAGTAATTTATTAATAATCCGGTGAAAGCATGAAATAGAACAAAATCATACAACCAACTGTAACTGTGTGCTGTGATGAGAAGATGTGTAAAATTCACAGAGTTAATTTGAATATAAAACTAAGTAAAATCTTAGGTTAATACTATATAAAAATATTTAAAAACAATTCAGAATAAGCAGCAAAAACCAATCTTTCTTAAATATTGAAACAAATTAAATATCTTGCTATTAAACAGTGAAGGCTTACAGTAGAATCATTTAAATACTTCACAAGAAAACTGTTGAAAGGGACATTCTATCAAAATATGTCGTACTGACAGCACATTACAGGTGGAACATACAGGTTTAGTCTTAGTTTTTAATAAGTAATTAAAAGGAATTGTATAAAAATTAATTGTGCATTAAAAGTGGCCGATTCATAGTCGAGTTAAAAGGACTTCTTTCTGATTTTTTTTTTGGGGCTCTCATTATTCAAGCCTAGGTTGTGCTTTTCAGTTTGTTATTTATTGGTATGTCCCACAGCAGTTGACACCTTGTACAAGACTTTTTCTTTTGATAACTGCTTTTAATGCTTCTCAAAGAATTGAGTAAATTCAACTATTCTACAGTGGACTTTGCTGTGATGTTATTATCTTTTATTCCTTCTTGTGCATGAACCCAGCAGTTAAGAATTTGGTAACCACAGCTTTATTATATATGGCCGTTTAGATATGATTGTAAAACTTTTATTACTGAGGATATGATGGAAGGTTGATATATAGTATTCTTTAGTTGAGATTCATGTCAATAGATTTTTAAGATCTGAAGCAAACCTCGAAATTGTATTATCTAAATATTACGTCACAAGTCTAAGGTACTTGATAGAGAAGGCAAATTGGTTCCAGTTAGTATTATTTAAAAAACATGGAAATGAATTTTAGTTCATATCTGAAATTTCGTAATCCGGACGTCCATTATCCAGAATGATTTTACACGCGCATGCGCACAGTGAAAGAAGTATTTAATGGCTTAATCTTTGGATTATGGTAACTTGGCAAAAATATGGCGACCAACCCTGTTACAGCAACCTGCTAGTTTTTGTTTGGATGCCATTTTGTTTTCACGAAGTAAAGGCACTTTTTTTTTTAACTCAACATTTTTTTCCAACAATCTGCAGCCGATACGTTGCTAGAACTTTTATGGAACAAAAGTGCTTAATCATGACAAAATTAAGTGTGAAATGGGAAAGTGCAGAATCGCAAATGCTTGCCGCGTTTTAAGAATTGCACATACACGGTATTCTGTACACGTGACCTTTTCACTTAAAAAAACATCCTAGATTGCAAAAAATGCTGCGACACTCTTGATTTATCCTGTACACTGCTAAAGTCCTAGCTAGTAACCTTTATCGCCTTACCAAAACGTCGCCATATTCGCCTGTTACCATATTCCAAAGATTAGCCATTTAATGAAGTAAACAAATATTAAGCATTTTTTTTTTTTGTAAAATGTGATACCCTTTAGATCATAATTGCTTTTTAATTTCATAAATTACGGTTTCATATTTTTAATAGTATAATTTCTGCATGCCATCTTGCCAAATTGAAATTGATGATCTAAATCAGGAAAACCCCCTAATCCGGAATTGACGAAGTCCCGACGATTCCGGATTACGGACTTTGTACTGTTAAGTTATGTTAATTATGTAAAAAATGTAGTTTGTTGTAAGGAATACAACCTTACAACAAACTACATTTTTTACATACTTTGATTCAGCACAATTTCTGGTAACCACAAATTGGATGTTACAGATAAACTTGCTTTAAATAAGTCATTGTTTCTTTTGTTCTTTTTCCAAATAAATTCGATGATATAAGAATTAATGTATTGATGTGCATAACCCTATTGATATCTAATTCTGTATTTTGCTATCTCTTAAAGAGTAGCAAGTAACAATTAGATAAAAATTAGAAAAGCACTAAAGCAATTAACAAGGAAGTCAAATCATGGTGCCATATTTGAAAATTTAGCATGTATTTGCTTTTTACGAGGCACATCCAGAAAGTAAGTTTCCCCCTTTAAAGTAAATGTAATTAGCCATGTTAATTGTGCATGCATAATAGAACTATGACTTATCAATCATATGCCAGCCGGACAGGTCCCGCCACGTGCCAGTAGTGTGGTAGCAGTGATCCGAAATGGAGGCTCTTATTCCTTCTCCAGCCGCGTGTGAGGTTCAGTCGGTGTTAAAAATTCTTGAATGTACAAAACATTGCGGCAGTTGAAATTCATTGTCAGCTCTGTCAGGTCTATGGGCCGAACATCATGAGTAAGCAGATGGTGC